GGATTGTATCAATGTTGATCAATTAGTATAACTATATAATAACTTTGAAGATTTTTAATAACTGTTGAAGATTATTATTGTTATTTAGAAGCATTTGTAATTGATTGATGTATGTACGCACATGAGATTGCGATTGAAATAAAACGTGCGCATTATTTTGTTCATAAGCGGATCTTTGGGCGCATTCAGCGTACTCAATAGTTGAATAAACGCTCGATGCTATTGGTATATTCTTCTAGATCTAAACGTCTGATTGAATGATCTAGAAGAATACACCAATAACAGCAAACATTCGCACAGCTGTGAGTGCGCTGAACCTTCCTTTAATAACTTTAATTCAAAGCCATGATTCAGAGCAAACCGGAGTAAACCCGATCGGTATTATTGGTTATAGTTGATAAAGATGAACCAAGCGAATGTCGAAAATCTAGTAAATAAATTGAGATACAATGTTAAGCCACGTCGAAAGTTTCAAAATCCTGACGGTCCGGAGGGACGACTTCGTAAATTTCAGAAAACCCTGACGGCATTGGTTAAATACGAGCGACTCGAGTTAAATTATTCGAGAGCTGACGAGACCAGAGGTTATGTTGACCAGGCATGTGCATTGATTTGATATATTTGTATTATTTAAAAGACGATTTATTATAACAAAGACGTTTCTTGCTCAACGAGTTCAAAAAACATGACTGATTGTGATCGCATTAATTTTTAACTTGTTGCGACTTACACTTGATATACAATATATCTCGACCTAAATCTTGTATATTGTTGTCTTATTAATAACTTTAACTTGCCATCATAATCTATAATGTAACATTATTTTACTATAAATCTTATTTTTTTAATATACTGTTGTCTTAATAATTTTAACTATTATAGCTATCGTAATTCACACTTGACATTATTTTGCATCCGATTTTGTTTTGTACATAATTAATAATTCTAATGAACCATTGTCGACATTATTGATGTTATTTTTTTCTAAATTTTATTTCATATATATTCAATATTATATATAAAAACCTCATAATGATGTTTTATTTTATAGTTGATATTTGAGGCGATACGCCATGGACCTACACATAAGGAAACAATGGACTCGGCAAATTTTTGGATACTTGAAAAACAGCTGGTGCACAAACTATTTAAAGTTCTTGTACCAAGATATCAGAATTATACTACCTCGTTCACAAAACTTCACAAAGCACCAAACATATATCCTACAATTTACTATGATAGGGCAATTTTAGAACTTAGAGGTATAAAATTTACTCTAAAAATTCTTAAATAAACCAAATAAAAATTGTATTTACTTATGATTACTTTTTTTTTTTAGGTAACATATACCCAAGTGTAGAACAGTACAATCCATATAAACGAAATTTACTTCATAATCTACTGCTTGATGCAGCAAAGAAAGAATTTAGAATGGAAAAATATAAAAAAATCGCGAACAATATAAAACAATAGAGATGAAAGGCAAGGAGAGGAAAAAAATGTTCTGTAAAGAATGCTCTTGTATAATATGCGTTTAGTGCTTTATATTATTAAAATAAAAGAATATAAAATTCACATTTACATAATATATTTTTTTCTCTTACTTTGTGTGTATGAAAGAACTTAATGGATAATGTTCTTTGAATTCTTCGAGATGTTTCTCCATTAGATTCATTTGTTTTCTGATGTGATCAGGGATTTCTTTGTACACATCCGTAAATAGATTTCTCCAATGTGGCTTAGATTTGCGTTCTGCTTCTTCAAAGGCATGAAAAATTTCTTTTTTAATAGAATCTATTAATTCTTGCTCTCTCTTTTGACACCATAATCCAAGTGATTCTAGATACAGACGGAATCTAACAAGTGGCGAATGGGTATTCCATTGAGAAATCTCGTCGACTGATCGATAAGCCGTGGAGTCGTCTGATGTGCTATGATGTCCGATTCTAAAAGATTTTTTTACAATATGTAACTTGCTAATTAGATGAAAATTTTGTTTTACAGAAAATATTTCAGCAAGAAAGATTATAAAGATTATCAAGATTTTAATTTATTATAATGATTCATACTCGACATTATTTTGCTTTAAATCTTATTTTGTGTATTGTTTTATTAATGATTTTAATTTTAGCTATCGTGTTAGTTAAAATTATATATTAATTAACAATCGTTCACCTATAAGTCATGGCTTCTATCAAAACGGGTTTCTTTTGCTTTATACAGAATTCTCTAGCACTTTTTGTAGCATAGTACATTGCGAGTACGTCGTTGCCGTCCACTCGAATCGTGTTAATTCCATAAGCCGGGCCCTTGGCCGCGATACCATCCCCCTTAAGCTGTTCTAAGACTGGCGTGGAGATAGCATATCCATTATTTCGACTGAAATAATATGAGCATTTATTTCATGAAATAAGAAAAATTTTTTAAAAATTACCAGAGAAAAACAACAGGACATGATAAAGTAGCAGCAAAATTGAACGCCGCATGGGCATCGCCTTCGCTCGTAGCACCTTCGCCAAAGTAACAAACCACACATGCGTCTTTTTTATCCAATTTAAAGGCATAGGCAGCTCCCACAGCTACAATAATAAAGATCTTCATTTCAGGACGCTTTTTCGTTCATTAAGTATGACAACCGAAGTGAAGCAACAATCATTGACTATTTGATAAACTTGTAATGTTAATACCTTGTGGAAGTTGCGTTGTTAATGGAGATGAAATAGTCACGAAATTCAATTCTTTAGAACCATAGTGTATCGGCATCTGCCTTCCTTTGCCGTCATCTTCGCAATTGCCGTAACATTGATTCATAAACTTCGCTAAGGGTTGTCCGCGATGCAGCAACACACCTGTTACATATATCGGTATACAATATTTTAGATGCATATAACAATAGATGGATAACGTATAACTTCATACCAGCCTCACGATACTGTGCATAAATCGTGTCTTTTAGAGTTAAAGCAGCGGCCGAACCGATCTGCACAGCCTCTTCGCCTGTATTGGTCATGTAAAATGATATGCGACCTTGTCTATGCAATCCGTACATTATCTTATCCATAACGCTTATAGTCACCATATCGTAATACATTTTTTTTAGATATACTTCATTTAACTATAATACAAGAATAATATTCAGTTTCTTGTGCCTTATTTTGGTTCACATCTAATTTTTAGTTTAATTCAGAATTTTATCTGTGATTCTAAGTGAACTTAAGTCAAATAAAACTCTGTTGTACAAAATTCTTTTTTATATAGAATTTTATAGACTTTTATAAAGAAATATTATAAGTCAATATAAGTATATATGACAAAAATGGAAGTTATGACTTGAAAAAATATGTATCCTTAAGTTGTATGAGGTGACTTTTATAACTGTGATAATAATCAAACCTTTTCGTCTTCAGGTAATTTAGTAATCTTCTGATAAGCTTCCAAAATCCTATATATCGGAATAGGTTCATAATTTTCTTCATTGACGAATTGAATACTACTTGTGAAGGTATTATTGATTCCCATGAATTGTGGCTCGTTCAAATTGGTACTGTAATATTTTATCTGGAAAATAAAAGATATTAATAAAGAAGGGGAAGAGAGAAAACATTAATGAAATATTTTTTCAGTAATATATTAAGTGATCATATCTATTTCATTCATATTTTTATTACTTATTTGTTTAATGATTCATTTACATTTTGTTATAATATGTAGCCCCTGAAAAAATTTCTTATAATTCTTCATATAATTTTAAAAATTTCTATATAAATTTCGAAATTTTTATATACCTACAATTTTATAACTTTTCAAAAAATTTTTTAGATTTTTTTTTACGAATTGAAATACTTATCAAAAGTATTGAAAAAATCTTTCTAGAATTCTTTATAATTTTATGTCAGTTCTGAAATATTGTGAGATTCTGAAAACTTTTTATTTTATAATTTCTAAAGAAAATTCATAAAATCTAAAGTTTAAGAGAATTTTTTTCCAAAGATTTTCATAAATTTAAAATAAAAAATTCTTATTAAAAATTCTGAAAAATATGAAATAAGAATTTTTTTCATTAATACACACTAAAAATTTTTTATAAACAGATATAATAAAATGTACAGATATCCCAAGTAACGTTAAATAATGAATAATAATTTTTCAATAATATATTTATCAATGTCAATAAGACGTATGCGTTATTAAAACATAATCTTGCTACTCAGCTAGTCAAAATAACGATAAAATAAGTATTTTGCTACCCATCGGTCGGGATATTTACCGTAACAATTAAAATCACACAAATATTCTTACTCACGTGTCGCAATTTTGAAAAAACAAACTATCACAGAACAATGAAAAAAAAAAGAAAAAAATTGCCAGTCACGCAAGTATGTCAAAGTGATGTTATATAGGGGAACGTTTGTCGTAAATCATGCTAACACGTGCAAGAATGGCAAGTTCGACGAAAATATATTGTTACGAATTACAAAGCAAATGAGCAATTGTTTGTTTACGAGATACGTGGTGTGATACCTGTAGAGTGCGTCGAAAGCGCCGAACGTTTCGGAACAGGTTTCTCATAATCATCTTGTGTTTCTTCTTTACGATTGTATCGTCTTCTTGACGAGCATATAGAAGTATTACTGATAACATTAGTAATACATGTTATATATGCACTTATGTATATATACATTTATGTAAGTACAAAAAAAACTCTCTCGCGTAATTGTGTAAATATGTGTTAGAATAAAGTGAGGTTAACTTAAATAATAACAGTGTTTATCTAACTCATTTTAATATTTATTTTTATTGTGAAAAAGATTGAAAGTATTTCAAAATTAAGGAATAAAAGATTATAACTGTGATGAGAAGGAGCACAATATATAAGCTCGGACGAGAACAATTATAACTTGATAGTATCAAGAAGTTAAAATAATTGAAGCTGTTTACATATCTAAATATATATATACATATATATATATATTTTTTTTTATTTGTTGATTAAACAAAACTTGAATCAAATATAAATAATAATGGATGCAATTACACAAATGGATTTATATGGATTGCTTGGTGTGGAGTCAACAGCTTCTATGCCAGAGGTTTGTATTTTCAATTTGTTTTTTAAAGAGTTTATTTACATTAAAATGATGATAAATTTATGTTTTTTATAGCAAAGTAAAATATTGTACAATTAGAAAGTATATTATAATTAGAGAGAGAAAACGCTTGATGTTATTCATATTTTCAGATCAAGAAGGCATATCGCAAGAAAGCTTTGACATGCCATCCTGACAAAAACCCAGACAATCCGAGAGCCGCAGAATTATTTCAGGAACTCTCGAGAGTATTGGAAATATTGACAGATGCAAATGCCAGAGTAAGTATATCGACATCTTTTCAAAATTCATTAACATTGTCATCATCAAACATCTTTTTTCTTAGACTTCTAGAAAGTCTCGTAGATGGTTTAATTTATTAAAAATATGTTGTGAAACAAGGCAGCGTATGATCAAGCTATTGCTGCCAGGAAGCAGGCGAAAGAGCGTGTTAGACAGTTTGATGCCAAGAGAAAGAAATTGAAGGAAGACTTAGAGGCACGCGAAGAGGCTTATAAGAGGTCGTTTGATCCTAAATCTGATACTAAATCTGACGAGGAACAAACAAAGGTATACCTTAATTGTGTAACTTAAAAAGTATACTTTAAAAGTATACTTTTAACTTAATTTTGCTAAGAATTACTTTCAGATACTTTTTAGATTGTTAATTTAGATATATAAAATATATAATTATATTCAGGCAGAAGTAAAACGATTGCAAGAGTGGTACAAACAAATAGAAGAAGAGATGGTCTTTACACGAGAACTTTTTTTGGAAAAACTTAAGAGCTCATCGGATGATTTAACATCTAATGTAGGAGACTTTCGAATAAAAATTAGATGGAAGGTGCAAGATGGTGATTTGACAAATGGTGGATATAATTATGATAATTTACATAAAATGTTTTCTAAGGTAATATTATATCTAATTCCATTTTTCAGTTTGTCTTTATTATTTCTCTTTTTATTATTTCTTCTTTTTATTATTTCTCTTTTTATTATTTTTTAAATTATTATTTTTTTACAGTATGGAGATGTAGCGGTTCTTGTTGTATCATCTACAAAGAAAGGCAGTGCCATGATTGAATTTGGAGATAAAAATGCAGCAGTAAGTCCACACTTGATAAAGGAATAATAGCTGCAGTTAGCAGAAAAAGCAACTTTGCAACTGCTATAAGATTCTTTAATATAATTGGTTTTTTACGTTTAGATCCAGTGAGAAACTAAAAATAAAAACCAATAAGGACAAAAATAAAAAA